ACGGTGGCTCAAGCCTGTAATCCCAGCACTTTGGGAGGCCGAGACGGGCGGATCACGAGGTCAGGAGATCAAGACCATCCTGGCTAACACGGTGAAACCTCGTCTCTACTAAAAAAATACAAAAAACTAGCCAGGTGAGGTGGCGGGCGCCTCTAGTCCCAGCTACTCGGGAGGCTGAGGCAGGAGAATGGCCTAAACCCGGGAGGCGGAGCTTGCAGTGAGCTGAGATCCGGCCACTGCACTCCAGCCTGGGCCACAGAGCGAGAGTCCGTCTCAAAAAAAAAGAAAAAAAAAAAGTGAATAGTGAAGGCAACTGTTATTATAGAGGTTGTATCACATTTCTGTGTGATCCAAAGACCGCCTGCATCTGAATCGCCTGAGATTCTGAGAATCACTGAGCTCCTCCCTCCCTTCCTCCCTGGACTACCCAATCATGTCAGAGTTCCCCAAATAATTCTTATGTGCACTAAACCTCTCAGAGCTCTTGGTGAATCAGTTACTTTCAGTGATTGATTTGCAAACTGCAGTAGATAGGTAAGTTTGAAAGCATATCTTAGCCCATATTGTGCCAAAGCTCTTTCTTTCTCTTGGCAGGTAACATGAAATGGCAGAAGCTAAGTCCCACTGGGGCAGCTCCAGCAGGCTGTGCTGCCCACTCAGCTGTGGCTGTGGGAAATCACCTGTACGTCTTTGGTGGAATGACTCCTGCAGGAGCACTGGACACAATGTACCAGTATCACACAGGTGAGCAGGTGTCCATGGGGATCTTTAAACAAATCTATAAACATCCTTTGAAAAGTGATGCAGTGGCTGGGCACAGTGGCTCACGCCTGTAATCCCAGCACTTTGGGAGGCCAAGGCAGGCAGATCATGAGGTCAGGAGATCGAGACCATCCTGACCAACATGGTGAAACCCCGTCTCTACTAAAATACAAAAAATTAGCCAGGCATGGTGGCACACGCCTGTAGTCCCAGCTACTTGGGAGGCTGAGGCAGGGGAATTGCTTGAACCCGGGAGGCGGAGGTTGTAGTGAGCTGAGATCAAACCACTATACTCCAGCCTGGGCAATAGAGCGAGACTCAGTCTCAAAAAAAAAAAAAAAAAGAAAAAGAAAAAAAAAGTGATGCAGTGCTTCGGTTTTCCAGTTTGGTTCTTCTATATCTAAATCCAAAAAAATAAAAACTCTGTAGGGGGTGACATCATTAAAGCAACAATGCTGCTATGAGGGTTTCTTTTTTTCCTTTCACTTCCTGTTTGTGAGGACTCAGCTGCTACAGTAAATCACTGAGCATTTCTAGAAAATTCTTTACTTTTTATTCACATTTTGGCTTTTACTATCTGGAAATTTCTTAACATGAAGCCTTTTCCCTCCCCAACATAGAAAGGCAGCATTGGACCTTGCTTAAATTTGATTCTTTTCTACCCCCTGGACGATTGGACCATTCCATGTGTATCATTCCATGGCCAGTGACGTGTGCTTCTGAGAAAGAAGATTCCAACTCTCTCACTCTGAACCATGAAGCTGAGAAAAGGGATTCAGCTGACAAAGTAATGAGCCACAGTGGCGACTCACATGAGGAAGGCCAGACTGATACACTGCTCTGTTTGGTGTTCGGTGGGATGAATACAGAAGGGGAAATCTATGATGATTGTATTGTGACTATAGTTGACTAATAAAACCCACATTTTTATTACCTGTCAGTTACTTTCAGAATAGTTAAGTAAAACCTTAGCTATTTTATACCTCCAAAATATCTTCTGCAGTATATATCTGTTTTTCTCCTACTTTGGTAGGTGAAGAAACTAATACAAATAATTCTTATGTGCCCTAAACCTTGCTATATTGCCTCTCAGAGCTCTTGGGAATGACTTTCAGTGACTGGTTTACAAACTGTAGTAGATAGATAAGTTTTGCCCAATGCAAAAACCTCCACTACATTAACATGAAAGGCTTTGGGCCAGGCTTGGTGGCTCAAGCCTGCAATCCCAGCACTTTGGGAGGCCGAGGCAGTGGATCACCTGAGGTCAGGAGTTCAAGACCAGCCTGACCAACATGGAGAAACTCCACCTCTACTAAAAACACAAAATTAGCCGGGCGTGGTGGCACATGCCGGTAGTCCCAGCTACTTGGGAGGCTGAGGCAGGAGAATCGCTTGAACCCGGGAGGCAGAGGTTGCAGTGAGCTGAGATCGCGTCATTGCACTCCAGCCTGGGTGACAAGAATGAAACTGTCTGAAAAAAATACATATATATATAAAAGCATCATTTTAAAATATATGTATACATATATATAAAAGCAGCTATAAAAGCATCAATAATATATATAAAACATTTTACATACTATACATATTTTTTATATATATGTATACATATATATAAAAAAAAGGCTTTACCAGCAATACAAACCTAGGTAGGTATGATTAGTGTATTAAATGCTAATCACAAGGTTGCAATAGGGTTAGGGTTAAAAGAAGTTACAGAATTGTAATTGGTAAACAACAAATTATAGACATCAGAGTAGACATTAGTTGAAGTCTATCTTTTTAACATTCAGGAACAGCTCCTCAGAGATACAGACTAGGTGATCCACAGTAGTGACAGCCTTTGAGGAAAGGGAAGACTAGCCCTAGTTGCTACCGTTTAACCCTATGGCCCCAGGGTACACAGTACTGCAGGTCATCTTTAATGGCTGTATTGGGCTTGGCCTGAGACCAGTCTTCTGCTCAGGGACTGCCCAAATGCTTTTGGGGCAGTGCAGCAGAAGCCTAGATCTGATTAAGAGGTTGGTGTTGGGAACCAGTTCCACTAGCCCTAGACAATTAACCTTTCAGCCAGTTGCCCATCTATAAAATACCTATCCTTGGGCAATATTGCATTTTTTTTTTTTCTTTTTTTTTTGAGATGGAGTCTCACTCTTGTCGCCAGGCTGGAGTGCAGTGGTGTGATCTTGGCTCACTGCAACCTCTGCCTCCCGAGTTCAAGTGATTCTCCTGCCTCAGCCTTCGGCTTGCACCACCACGCCCTGCTAATTTTTGTATTTTCAGTAGAGATGGGGTTTCACCATGTTGGCAAGGATGGTCTCTCTCTCTTGACCTCGTGATCCACCCGCCTCGGCCTCCTAAAGTGCTAGGATTACAATATTGGATTTTATGTTAGCACCAGCCTGCCCTTTATTGATAATACTATTTACCTGGACTCTTTTCTTCAGGAGGGCAATCTAAGTAATAAACCGGTTTTGACACAAACCACTGCCTTTAACCCATTCATAGTGAGGGGATCGAGTGGAGTTTCAATGTCACCATCCTAGCTCCCACCCCAGTACCACTAATGAGAAATGTCAAGGATGGAGATTCTGACAGCTAGGGGTTCACAATATACCTTTACATCCTGAAGTTACAGATTAAATCCAAGTGTATCAAGTTAGTAACGCCAGTGATCACTCATTCCCCATCATTTCTCAGAGAATCCAAGCAGCTATAAAAGCATCATTAATAATAATTTTAAAAAGCCAACAGAAACGCAGTTTTAGAAAGGGGAAATAGGAAACCAAGTATGGTCAAGAAAACCCTACTCTTGGGCACTGTGAAATGCCCCTTGCCTAAGTAAAGATGTGGATTAACTTCTCTCCCCTTTCGTTAGATTAATGCAAAAGCCGAGCATGGAGGTAACAAGCCTGTAGTCTTGATTAGCTGGAGACTGAGGTGGAAGGATCACTTGGGTTTTTTTACCCAGGAGGGTGGAAAAAAAAAAAAAAAAAAAAAGCAGCAAATTCTCTGGAAGCATTAAATAGAAGTGTTTCCTTATCCCAACATACCAAACACTCCCTCCTCCCCTCACCCCACACACAAGAATCTAGCCTTAAATTTCCTAAAATAAATAATTGATCTAATTAGCAGCTTTGCACAAACATTAGACCAGTGTAAATAACAAACATTTATTGGTGTCACTTATGGTAGAAAAAACTTCCTACACCAGATGCACATGACCCAATTGTTAAATAGAACATTTTGAAGGTGAACACACACCCTAACCCAGGTTTTTTACCCACTTTTTAAGATGGCCAATTCTTCTTCTCCCCCCCCACCCCAAGACATGTGAGCAACTGCTAATGAAAAGCAGTAAACAGCCGCTTGGGCTATATCATTTTCAACTCCACTCTGAGGTGAAGATTCCAATTACATTCGAGACTTAAGTTCTCTCAATTTTTTCCTAACAAAGTTCCTGAGTCCAGTATTTACAATATTACAGCACTAGTAGATCAGTATCTACAACTCATCTTTTTCTGCTGTATCCTCTTCACCAGTTGGGGGAGGGCCTGCACTTCCATAGAGTTTGCTGATAATTGGCTGAACAATTTCTTCCAGTTCCTTCTTCTTAGCTTTGAAGTCTTCAATGTCAGCATCTTGGTGGCTTTCCAGCCATTCAATCTTTTCTTCTACAGCTTTTTCCATGGTCTCCTTATCTTCAGAGGAAAGTTTACCTCCCAGCTTTTCTTTATCTCCGATCTGATTCTTTAGAGAATAGGCATAGCTTTCCAACTCATTTCTAGTATCAATGCGCTCCTTGAGCTTTTTGTCTTCCTCAGCAAACTTCTCAGCATCATTAACCATCCTTTCGATTTCTTCAGGTGTCAGGCGATTCTGGTCATTGGTAATTGTGATCTTATTTTTGTTCCCTGTACCCTTGTCTTCAGCTGTCACTCGAAGAATACCATTCACATCTATCTCAAAGGTGACTTCAATCTGTGGGACCCCACGAGGAGCAGGAGGAATTCCAGTCAGATCAAATGTACCCAGAAGATGATTGTCTTTTGTCAGGGGTCGTTCACCTAGAAGTTACATATAGAAAAACTCATTAGTTGTTACTGACAAGCATTAGCACATCTAGACACTTTTGGTTTTATTGAGCTAAAAGTAATTTCATACTGGTCTACAGGGAGCAGCAACTAGTACTAACTGAGTTAGGTTACTAACTCAACTGAATTTTATCTATTTTAAAGTACTGTGAACTCCTTTTTCTTGTACTCTAGGAGCCAGCTCAGATGTTACTATTAAGAATGCTAAACATAGGCTGGGCACAGTGGCTCACACCTGTAATAATCCCAGCACTTCGGGAGGCTGAGGTCAGTGGATCACCTGAGGTTAGGAGTTCAAGACCAGCCTGGCCAACATGGCAAAACCCTGCCTCTACTAACAATACAAAAATTAGCCTGGCATGGTGGTGGGCACCTGTAATCCCAGCTACTCGGGAGGTAGAGGTTGCAGGTCATGCCACTACACCCCAGCCTAGGCGACAGAGTGAGACTCCATCTCAAAAAAAAAAAAAAAAAGCTAAATATCTAGATATAAAACATTATTCACATTAAGACCCCCATCTGAAAACAGCAGTTACTTAGTTCCCTTGCCATTTCAATAGATCATATTAAGTCATGTTCTTTTAAAACATGCCATGATAGATAGACCTGGCGCGGTGGCTCACACCTGTAATCCCAGTACTTTGGGAGGCAGAGGCAGGCAGATGACCTGAGGTCAGGAGTTGGAGACCAGCCTGGGCAACATGGTGAAACCCCATCTCTACTAAAACTACAGAAATTAGCCAGGCATGGTGGTCCATGCCTGTAATCCCAGCTACTCTGGAGGCTGAGGCAGGAGAATCACTTGAACCCGGGAGACGGAGGTTGCAGTGAGCGGAGATCATGCCACTGCAGTCCAGCCAGGGCAACAGAGCAAAACTTCATCTCAAAAAAAAAAAAAAAAAAAAAAAAAAAGCCATATTAGCAAACTTAAGTAATTACCTTCATAGACCTTGATTGTAACAGTTGGTTGATTATCAGAAGCTGTAGAAAAGATCTGAGACTTCTTGGTAGGCACCACTGTGTTCCTTGGAATCAGTTTGGTCATGACACCTCCCACAGTTTCAATACCAAGTGTAAGGGGACACACATCAAGCAGTACCAGGTCACCTGTAAGGATAAGTTATTTAACTTCTAATTCAAGTTCTCCCTATGAGCTATGTAAAGTTTGTGTCTCTAGCATTTGGTTAGGTTCTAACACACATCTTAAAGGCAGTGAATTAAACAGTTGCTAATGATCTTGAGACTACCCCAGTCTTGTCTTCACTTACACCCTTTACTACATGTGTGACCTTGTTGCTCATATTCTGGTATTTTCTAAAGCAATAGCTAATGAGTCTTCCATCAAGCTACTGAATCACTAGGAAAGATGCCGCGATCATGACCTACCTGTATCTTGATCACCAGAGAGCACACCAGCCTGGACAGCAGCACCATATGCTACAGCTTCATCTGGGTTTATGCCACGGGATGGTTCCTTGCCATTGAAGAACTCTTTAACCAGTTGCTGAATCTTTGGAATTCGAGTCGAGCCACCAACAAGAACAATTTCATCAATATCAGACTTCTTCAAATCAGAATCTTCTAGCACTTTCTGGACGGGCTTCATAGTAGACCGGAACAGATCCTAGAAAAAAAAGACATGGTTACCGTGATGTCTGTTATCTAAGTATCTAGATGCAATGTCCTGAATTCAGAGTCTAAAGCAGAAAACAAGGGACATACCATGTTGAGCTCTTCAAATTTGGCCCGAGTCAGGGTCTCAGAAAAGTCTTCTCCTTCATAGAAGGACTCAATTTCAATTCTTGCTTGATGTTGAGAAGACAGGGCCCGTTTGGCCTTTTCCACC